TCCTCCTCCTCCTCCTCCTCCCCCTTTTCCTCCTCAGTATGGAAGAGTGGGGTCGGAGGCGTGATCGGCGGCTTCCCTCCTGAGATGCCCCAACCCATGAGAGCCGATCTGGCCGTTCGAGGATATAGGATCCAGGATCGATGTTATCGGACGCGCTTGAGCCTCTTGATCGGCCGCGTCGTTACGGCTGGCAGCGCCTCGACTCTCTGGTCAGAACGAGCCCTTTGACAGGCCACGGTGTCAATTCAGAGTTTTGAAGGAGGGGAAGGCGGAGGCGGAGGAGAAGCCAAGGCCAACTGTAGCTGTAGAAGGTTGAGGGTTCGCTGGGGACTGGTTTCCTTTCAATGCAGCCGAAACCCTCTGGAATCCCTCCGAAGAGCCTCCAGGAAGGGGTCCGGGAGAAGGACTCTCGTCGCTGCGGGAGGGAACCCAGTCCCCAGCGAACCCGGGGTTTTCGAACTTTCGCTCCATGACGGTCCCGAAGCTCCGAGGACTGCTCCTGGACCACATGGGGCCCCTGGACAGGCCGAGACCGCATACGGACGGTTCCGTAGCGGCTCCAGGGCCCCACCCGAGACTGAAGGGGCCCAAGGACACACAAATAGATACGCACAAATAAACAGATTCTCCGTATTCTCCCACATTTGGGTTTTTGTTGGCCTTCCCCCCCCACTCCCCATATATCCCCATGTTTCCTGGGGAATAGACGATTCATGGTGTCTGCGGGTTTCTCTCACTCCCGGAAGCCGGCCTGCGGGCACCACGCAGCGGCCCCAGCGAGCCACGAGGGCGCCCGGCAGGTGCTCAGGAGGCCGTGCGGAGGCGAGCGGGGCGTTCCCGGAGTGCTCTTCGAGATCAGCCACCCTCCTCCTCCTCCTCCTCCTCCTCCTCCTCCTCCTCCTCCTCCTCCTCCTCCTCCTCCTCCTCCTCCTCTGAATGCTGAGGGCACCAGACCATCTCCACAGAGCACTGAGGCCAACCCCGGACGCCCCAGCCGTTCTCGCCCCGCAGGGGAACCGGAAGCGAGCCTGCGGCAGCCTGCGGCAGCCTGCTGCCCCCCAAGACGGTCCAGCAGGGGGGCCCCGAAACGCCCCAGGATGGCTCTTTCTCTCTGTCTTTCTCCCGTTGTTTCAAACGCTTTTCCTCTCTCGTGCTGCGCTTCCTTCCGTTGTCGCCTTCGTCATACTCGCCCTCTTCAACGTCTTCTCTCACGCTTCTCCTTCCTGCATCCCGCCTGTTCTCCTGTTCATCCCCTGTGCTCGCCTTCTTCGATAGATTCTCTCACGCTTCTTCTCCCTCCGTCCCGCCTGCTTTCCTGTTCATCCTCTGTCCTCATACTTTTTCCCTCCCCTGTCCCTTCCAAATTACCCCTCCTGCTCGTAATGTGGCTCCTCCCCCCCCTGCAGCACGCCTCCTCCATCCGTCCCCGTTGAGGACGAGCACGACGACGATGACGACGACGACGTCGACGACGACCACGACCACGACCATGACCACGACCATGACCACGACAACGACGACGACGACGACGACGACGACGACGTCCCACTCCGACCCAACTCCGCCAAAAATCGGCCCCTGGACCCCTCCCACGATTCAACTTGTGAACTCTCTTTCCCAGGTCGAGATCTGAGAGAGAGCGTGATCCACCGCCGCTTTACTGTGGAAAATTGCCAACCTTTTCCTCCGGAGGCCCCGGCGTGCGTCGCGGCCCCCCCCCCCCCCCCTCCAAATCCCCCCCCACACCCTGCTAGAACCCCTCCCCCCCCCCTCCCCCCCCTTTTCCGCCCGGCAAAAACCCCCCCCTCCCTAACCCCTGATACATACCCCACCCTCCTCACTGCTCGAAAACCGGGGGGGTTCACTACCCCCGGTTCGACTCCCCTCCCCTCCACCCCCCCCCTCCCGGATCCGGAAAAAGACCGGGGGTGTTCACTACAGTGTTCGAAACGCCCCCCCCCCCCCCCCCCCTCCCCCCCCCCCCTGCCCCCTACTCATCCGACTGTTGAGTCGCAAACGACTCCCGGTCCCCACCACCGTCCGCATCAGATCCACCACTGGTGTTCCCAGCACCACTGTCCTCACCACCGCTGTCCCCGCTGCTTCCACCACCGCCCCTACTGTCCCCACCAATGGCCCCACCACTGTCGCACTGTCCCCGCTGTCCCCAGAACTGTTCCCACCACGGTTCCACTCTCCCCACTGTCTCCACGGCCCCAACCACTGCCCGACTATCCCCACTGTCCCCACTGTCCCACTGACTCCTCCGCTGTCCCACTGAGCTGTCCCACTGTTCCCACCACTGTCCCCACCACTGTCCCCACTGTACCTCTGTCCCATTGTCCCACCGCCGTCCTCGCCACCGCCTTCACCACTGTCCCCGCCACCATTGTACCCTCCACTGTCCCACTGTGTCCACCTCATTCCCCTTGTCCCCACACCACTGTCCCCACCACCACCGTCACCACCACTGTCCACTGTCCCCCCCTGTTCCCACCATTGTCCCCACCACTGTCTCCACCACCCACTACCGTCCCCACCACTGTCCCACTGTCCCACTGTCCCCACCACTGTCCCGCTATCCCCTCACCACTGTCCCCACCAACACCGTCCCCACCACTGTCCGCACCCCCACTCGGTTTTCGAGGGGGGGTGGGGGGGGTTCGAACCGGTAGTGACCCCCCCCGGTTTTCCTCCGGATCCGGAGGGGGGGGGGGGGGGGGGTTCGAACCGTAGGTGCCCCCCTTTTTCATGATGATGCAGGGGGGTGGGTGGGGTGGGGTAGGGGTTCGAACCGTAGTTGCCCCCCCCGTTTTCCGGAGGGGGGGGGGGGGGGAGGGGTTCGAACCGGTAGTGACCCCCCCCGGTTTTCCGCCAGCAGCGGTAGAACACGCTCTTTCAGATCTGACGGCCCCGGGGCCCGAAATGGCCCCTCCCCGCGGACGACATTGAGGCAACACATCCAGCGGAACCTCACGCTTCCTCGAACCTCGACGACGATGACGACGACGACGCCGCCCCACGGGTCCAGAGCGGCCGCAGACGCGCCCCAGAACCTCGAAACCCAGACTCCCGGCGTCGAGATCTGTTCGCAGCGTGGACCTCCCTCCAGGTCTGGACCCCTCTCCCCTTGGATCGCCTCTTCGGCCCGAGTCGCTGATTGACGGCCCCGAGGCCCAGCGAGGGCGATCGAAGCCCGAAAATCGTCAAAAATATCCTGCCGCTATCTTTTCCACGACGTCAGGGGAAATGGGACCCCGGACCCCCAATGGTTTCGGGCAGGAACTCGTGCCGTGCCGCTGACGGCCGTCCAGTGCGATCCGGACACCACCGAGCGCTCTCGGCGAGGCGCAGCGGAGGAACAGCACCCCGAGGCTGGGAAAAACCGTCGAGAGCCGACGAGACTGCCGGAAGACCTCGAACCTCATCCGAGCCGCGCCCAGGATTTTCGGGCGTCTCCCTTTACAGAGGGATTTTCGACGACAAATGAAAAAACACTCCAACAATGCACCAAAAAGGTAAACAAAAATACCCCAAACATAATCCTCATACTATTTTTGGATTCTTTTTTATTGTACCATTTGTGGAACATGTTTTATCTTTCGTCGAAGATCCGCCTGCAGGGGGACAGGCCCGACTTCACCCGACACCTTCGAGGACAGCGGCGGCGAGCCGAGATGCCTGCCTGGAGCGCCTTCGCCTGGGCGCGCTTCTCCTGCACCATCGCCGCGGCCGCCTGTCGGGTCGGGCGAAAGGGGGGGATAGTCAAACGGGGGGGTGAAGAATCAGCTCACGCAGCTGCTGAGTTCCGGACGCCTCCGGCGCCGGAGGCGGCTATGTATCGAGGAATGGGCCCCTCGGTGGGGCCGAAAACCAGCTGCATGCAGCAAATTTCGTACCCCCCCCTTCCCAATCCCCCCCTTTCGCCCGGCCCGAGCCTGGCGCTGCCTCTCTTTCTCCTCCGCCTGCGCCGCCTGGCGCTGCTCCTCCGCCAGCTTGGCCTGCTCCTCCATTCTGGCCTGGCGGGGCGGCGCGTCGCGCTCCTCCGCCAGCCTCCCCCCTCCTCCCCCCTCATCCTCCTCCTCCCCTCCTCCTCCTCCTCCTCCTCCTCCTCCTCCTCCTCCTCCTCCTCCTCCTCCTCCTCCTCCTCCTCCTCCTCCTCCTCCTCCTCCTCCCTCCTCCTCCCTCCTCCCTCCTCCCTCCTCGGTCTGCCTCGCCCTCTCCTGCCCGTCCTCCGTGGCCGTTTTGGCGCAGGAGCCGCTTTCGCTCGAGGTGGTCCTCCCCGCTTCGGCGCTTCGGCCCCGTCGGCGACGGCGGCAGGGCGGGCCCACGGCGTGGCTGCCGAGGGGGGCGGCCCGCCCGCGTGCCTGCCCAGCTCGCAGCGGGCGTCCCGTCCGAGAGCCGCGCCCCCGGTCACGCTGGAGACTGTTTACTCGGATCGGCGACGACCCGTGCTATATCCAGGGGAGGAGGAGGAAGGAGGGAGGAGGGAGGAGGAGGAGGGGAGGAGGAGGAGGAGGAGGAGGAGGAGGGAGGAGGAGGGGAGAGAGGAGGAGAGGGAGGAGGAGGAGGAGGGAGGAGGGAGGAGGGAGGAGGGAGGAGGGAGGAGGAGGAGGAGGGAGGAGGGAGGAGGGAGGAGGAGGAGGACAAGACAGGACACGGTCGGCCTTGATTGGACAGGACACGCGAGAGGACACAAGACCCTTCCGAGGGCCATATCGCCATATGAGTGTAAGAAGGCACGTGTCGCGAGGCACAGGACACAAGGGTACCCTTGAGCTGGCAGGGTCGACCTACTAATCCGGGCCGACTGTATGACCGCGCGCACCAGTGCTGAGGCCCCACAGTTGCTGACCATGCTGCGAAGATGCTACCTTTCGTGCTGCGACGATGCGGGCGCAGTCCGGACATGCCGAAGGACATTGCTGGACCTGCTCAACCAACAGGGTGAGGTTCTCGAGGGGGGTAGCCCGATAACCCAAGTCATCGCCAAACCCCAAACAGACCAGTCTCCTGCCGCACGGGGCGCTGCTCGCCGCCGTCGTCGGGAAGCATGCGAGGCCGGCCTGCGCGCGCAGGCGGCCGGCGGCGGCCATGGCAGCTGGCAACGACCGGGAGCTGGCCTGCTGGTCAGCCCTCCGCCGCGTTGTGCCGCCGGCCTTCGCGTTCCTGGCCTTCTGTCGGGCCTGTCCCCCTACAGGGGGATTTTCGACGGAAGATAAAAAATACACCAAAAATGCCCCAAAGAGGTCCACAAATACTCCCAAGACAGTCCCCTGGACTATTTTTGGACTATTTTTGGATTATGTTTGGGGTACTTTTTATTTTTCGTCGACAATCCCCCTGTAAGGGGGCAGGCCCGACTTCATCCTGGCCGCGCGCGGCGTCACCGTGATGCGGCCTCCTGGCACGCCGCGGCAGTCTCGCCGCAGGGCAGCTCGTCGGCGCCGGGCGGGGAGATCTCCGTGGCGGGTGCCGGGCCCCGGCTGGGCTCCACTGCTCGGCCGCCGACTGCGGAGGAGGCGGTGCGCGCGGAGCCCAGCGCGCCAGGCGGAGGAGCTGGCGCAGATGGGCTCAGATAGGCGCCAGGTGCGCGGAGCACAGCGCCGTCTCTCGGCCGTGCCCTCCTGGCGGGGCTGCTCTGGCACTGCCCCCGCTCCCGAGGGGGGTCGGGGCGCAGCACGCCGCCCATCCGGAGGCGAGGCGGGGGGCGTGCCGCCCGCCAGTCCCCAAGCGCGTCGTCGTCGAGGTGCCGCTGCGGCCACCGCCTGTCCGTGATGGCGATTCTGGTGGCGGTGCTTTCCCGACCGCCGAGCGGCCTGCTGGTCTGGCCCCCTCCAGTCTGCTCCAGGGCCTCTGGGAGCCACTGTGAGACCCTGGCCCTCCCGTCCCATCCGAGCCCCCCAAAGCGTTGATGAAGCGGGGCGTCGCGAGGAGGAGGGAGGGAGCCTTGGGGCCCAGAGCTCGGCGCTCACCGCGAAGTTGGAGGGCCACGCTTGCGACGGCTGCTCGGTGGGTATCGCTGATACTGACGGGTCCGACTCCGAGGCTAAGGGGCGTCGGCATGCTCGTCTGCCCCCGGTGCTGGCCGCCCCGGCTCGAGCAGCATGTCCCTGGGATTGCGAACGCATGAAAGTGATCACCTCGTGGTCTGCCTGGCTGCTGTCTTCGTGCAGCCGTACGCGGACGCCAGAGGAGTGCAGCGGCAGAATCCCCTCCTACCCCTCCTCATCCCTATCCTCCTCCTCCTTCTCCTCCTCCTCCTCCTCCTCCTCCTCCTTCTCTTCATCCTTCTCCTCACCACAGTAGCCACTCTCGCTCGGGATGATCCCTGTCCATGGCAGAGCACGGGTACTGATGATGTGCGACTGCTCTCATTGCTCTCAGGGGTTTTGTACCCTCTTCCTCGGTATCATGTATTGCACGTCTCGCGTGGGAATGCTTGATGACAAAGAGACGTACTTACTGGGGGACTGGTCAGCCCACTGGATTTGCAAGTAGGCACATGGATCTTCCAGCCCGAACAGAGCTTTGAACGCCGCCAAGACACTCAGAAGAAAACACAGAAGTCCGCACATATTGTTGCGATTGGGAGTTCTACGCAGTAAGTACGTGTTCCAAGCGTGGAGGGACATGCCTGCTGGTCGTATACCCCTTCTGGTGCCAATTGTGGTGGGAAATCTGTCCTTAGTGAAGAAGACCATCCTCAAACAGCTTCCAAAGAGGTGCGTGAAGAAACAACCAAACTGTTGGCGCACAACTCTGAGTTACCGGTCACTACTGGAAAGCTGCCAAGTGAGCCTGCTGTGCAAGCCTGCTCCCAAGCGCAGTTGGATGCAGCTGCCAATGTCGAGAAGACTCGGCTCGCAAAGGCCACGGGGGAACAACGAAGGTGTGACGGTGCGCATCGGCGACGCAAATACGGAAGGTACGTGAGGAGGAGGAGGAGGAGGAGGAGGAGGAGGAGAAGGAGGAGGAGGAGGAGGAGGCGACGAACGTCCTGCTCACGCAACTCGTGATCAAGATAAGGCTGAAGAGGCACGTGCAGACCGTAGCTGCGTCCGCCGATGCAGCCCAAGACCTCTCCTGGGCCTCGCGCCGACCAGGATCTCGGCAGGGACCAACGAAGGGGCCCTGGAACACACAAATAAATACACACAAATAAAGAGTTTCCCCATATTTTCCCATATTTTCTGGGTTTCTGTCTTCCCCCCCCACTTCCCATATGTTCCCATATTTTCTGGGGAATCGAGGATTAAGTGTGTCTGCGTGTTCCTTTCCCTCCTGAGTGATGTTGTCGGTGTCCCGCCTTGCGTCCTCAGTCCGCCTATGCTGCAGAACGCAGCATATAAGCGAGAACGGCCCACGGAGTCGTCAAAAACACAGCGTTGTGTCGACCCCACCATCCCGGAGGAAGAGGAGGAGGAGGAGGAGGAGGAGGCGGAGGCGGAGGCGGAGGAGGAGGAGGAGGAGGAGGAAGAGGAGGAGGAGGAGGAGGAGGAGGAGGAGGCGGAGGCGGAGGAGGAGGAGGAAGAGGAGGAGGAGGAGGAGGAGGAGGAGGAGGAGGAGCGTGGCGGCGAGGGCCCCTCGCGAGAGGTCCAGGGAGCGGCCGAGACGCCAGGGCCCTCTCCCCGCGCTGCCGTCGGCGCCCACGGGACCTCCAGGGGCATCCCACAGGGGGTCCGAGCGCGTGGGGTCGGAGGATCGCGCCGCATCGACAGTGCATCGGCGACGCGGCGCCATCCTCCGACCCCACGCGCTCGGGCCGAATCTGGGAGGCCTGGAGCCGACACGTCGGTCGGAAGAAAGAGGTAGAAACATGAACTGGAAGGCGGATCAAGCAGATTGGGTTCGGGCCCGCCCAAAGAATAACAAACAACAGCCAAACCACATCGATTACTGAAGTAGGGAGGCGCTTGAGGTAGATTGAGTTCTGGGAATCCAAAACAACCTACTTTCAACAGCCGACGGGTAGCCTCTAGACAGCTGAGGAGGCAGGGGGGGCTTCTCGCAGGGGCCCGGGCGTGGCCTCTGAGGAGGGCCCCCTGCAGGCTAGCACGGCGGGCAAGCGTCTGAACCTGATGCTTATCAAACTCAATTGCCGGACGGGCCTCTGGAAGGATGAAGTCGGGCCTGTCCCCCTTACAAGGATATTTTCGACGAAAAGCAAAACATACCCCAAAAAACCAAAAGTGTCCAACAATATTCAAAAAATAGTCCCCATATTATTTCTTGATGATTCTCGAATAGCACCCCTGTAGAAAGACAGGCCCGACTTACTGATAGGGGGGGCATCCGCGAGGGGGGCGTCCAAGACCGAGGCTCGCAGAGCACTGCCCGAGGCATGGGCACAGACGAGGGCTGGACCAGGGGAAGCGGAGGGGGCCATGAAGGCCGAGGAGATCTCATCGAGGGCAGCTACAGGTTCCCGCGGCGTTCCGACCTGCGTGCTGCGCGAAGCCCGAATCACGCATAACCTGGCGTTTCGCACCGCCCACCAGGGGGAGAAAACGTGGACGAGGAGGATGAGGATGAGGAGTCGCGAACTGCGAGCAAAAGATGACCTTACGCCCTGATTCCAGCCATGGGATCATCAGGAACAAATGCTGCAAATGCTCGCAAATTGGATCAGTGTCCAGCGAGCCGGGTCCCAGGTCACTGAATCACCAGATCAGGCAGCCCGCCCACCAGAACAAACGACCACCGGATCACCGGATCCCCAAATCGCTGGATCACCTGAGCAAGCGGAGGCGGAATCCCTCGATCACCAGATCACTGGATCAAAAGTCTAACGAACCAGATCATCACCGGATCAGGCAACCAGTTTACCGTCACCAAAATCAGCGATCCGGAGAACCTGCTCATGCACCAGATCACCAGGTGAGGCGGCCTGATCAACGGATCACCAGATCAGCAATCAGGTGAAACTGATCACCAGATCACCAGATCCAACGGCCAACTTACCAGATCACGGGATCACTGGATCAATGATCTGGCGAACTGGATCGCCATGTGATCGCCAAGTCACCGGATCAGGCGGCCAGAGCACTGGATCACCAGATCACAAGATCACCCGATCGCAAGTAATTGCCAGAGGAGCGATAACGGCTAGATAGCGTGAAGACCTTCTGGAATCTCCCTGGGATGTTTTCAAAACTTCAACGGGGCGTCGGGGGAACCACAGGAAGGGCCCCTGAATCCGCCGATCTGGCGTGTGAGTTTCAAAAACCCCCAGAACAGCCTGAGCCTCAATTCCTGAGCTTCAGCTCTACTGGGGGGTGGGTGCCGGGGTGGTTCTGCCGGGGTAGGGGTAGGGGTGGGGGCGGTTCGACTAAATTCCCGGGGCGGAATCGGAGCTCCCGCTCACTCTGGGACGTCCCCCTCGACCAGCAGGGCGCCAACATGGGCCAAAAAGGCTTCGAATCGCCGAACGATCGCTACAACACGCCCAAAATGTCCCCAAGACGGCTCAAGAAACCTCCAAGATGCCCTCAGAAGCCCTGAAGACAAGAACAAAAAAAAAAAAACTCCTTCAAAAGGGCCCAAAGAAACAACAAGTGCCCCACTCCCCGGGGGAAAACGCATAATTCTAACATTTTCGCAAGGCTCCAAAATGGCCCAAGAAGGGCCCATGATGGCCCAGGAGGCCCCCCCGGAAAGGCCCAAGAGGGCCCCGGGACGGGCCCAAGAGGCGCCTGAGAGGGCGCCAAGACGGCGGAACAAGCTCCGAAGACAGCCAACAAAAAATCCAGCATGCCCCCAAAGGACCCCAAGACGCCAGAAGAGGCCCCAAGGCGCTTCCAACTGACCCCGAAGAGGCCCCCTGAAGCCCCCTAAATCCCCCAAGAGTTTCACACATGCATCCAAGACGCCGTTTAGAGGCCTTCAAACTGCCTCCAAGACTTTCCCCGAGAAACCCAACACCGGCCCCAATGTTTCCACGACGCTTACGTCTGAACACATGCGTCGCAATACAACATGCTCTTCCACGCTTTTACATATTCTCCCGTCATTGGTGTCCTTCACATCCATGATCTCACAGAGGGCCCGCAGACGACCGCGCGACGGCCCCAGAGACAGCAAAAACACCATGGCTCCCAGCAGAAACCAGTGATGCACGAGGCTCCATAAAGAACTGTGACGCAGACAACTCAAGCACAAAGCTTTTCAAAGAGCGCGCCAAACCGGCGAGGTATCAACCCGAAGAAGGCCACCGCATGGCCCCAAAGAGGCTTTCCAACAACCGCCGAACATCTCCAACAACCGCCGAAAATGTCCTCATCCTCGTCATGCTCCTCCTTCTCCCCCCTGCCCCTCTTCCACTTCCCGCTGCCTCCTGATCCTCCTCATCCTCAGCATCGTGCTACTCCTGCCCCTCCCTCCCCGACCCCTTCCCCTCAGCATGATCCTCCTTCTCCTCCTCATCCTACTCCGTTGCCTCCATTCCCAATCCTCATCATCATCCTCACGGCTCGCCGTCGTCGCCGGTCATGACCGGAATCGTGTGTTTCCGGCAGCAACGGAAGCGCCCCGGATCGGCGGCACTCGGAGGCCACTACAATGATCTCGCTCCCTCCACCTCCCTCCGCCGCTCTCCCGCTCTCCCTCACCCCTCCAGCGTACCTTCAGCGTACCTTCGCGCATTCGCATCAGGCGTATATTCGGCGTACCTTTAGCGTACCTTCCCTTGTACCTGGAATCAGGTTCTGCACTGGTTTCAATGTAGAGGCGAACCTGCATTCCAACGTCCCTTCACCGTAGCCACCTTCAGGTTGTTTGTCATCGTAGAAGCGTGCCTTCAGCGTTCCTTCACGCACTCGTATCCAGCGTACCTTCAGCGGACCTTCAGTGCACCTTGCCAACTCATTTCAGTCGACCCCAGCAACGCAACCCTGCGCTACAACTCCCTCGCGTGAGCGCGAACCACAGAGAAAAAAGCGGGCATGAAACAGGAATAATTGTTTAGTGCGAGGAGGGGAAAATCGGGGAGGCGGAACACCATGGAAGAGAGGACCTGTGAGCACTGATGAGGACTCATGAAGCTCATGTTGAGCTGTGATAGCGCGCGCTGAAGATAACCAGATCAATTATCCAAAGAAGATTACTGGATCAGGCGGCAGGATGATCGGATCATGCACCCGATCACCAGATCAACGTATCACTGTATGACTGCATCGGGGGGCCTCCAGATCAATGGATCACCAGATCACCAGATCAGCAGATCAGGCGGACGTATCACCAGATCACCAGACCAAGACGGCCTGGTTGCCAAATCACTGGATCACTGGATCAGCAGATGATTGGACCATGGGGTCACTGGATGGCCAGATCACCAGATCACTAGATCAGGCGGCCAGATCGCCAGATCACCCGATCAGTACTGTCACCGACGTCACGGATCAGCGGATCACCCGATCAGGCGTCGGATCCACGGATCACGGATCAGCGGATCAGGCGGTCGGACCACCAGGCCACAAGATCACCCGATCATCAGAACTTGGATCACCGGGTCACCGAATAAGGCGGCTGGAACACAGGATCGACGTTGATCCAATGAACTCATGACTCGATCGCGGGAGTACTTGATCAGGCGGCTGGATCCCCAGATCACCGGACCGACACACTTAGAAAAGCAAACCACTAGTTCATGTCCACTCTGATCTCCCCCAAGATCTGCACATCCTCCCCGTCCCGGCCCTCTCAGAAAACACCCCTCCCAAATTCAAGAAACCTTCGCATCCACACTGAGATCCACCCATCCTGGTCCTGGCGGCCCCCGATCTGAGCAGCCTCCCCCCCCCTCCCGCCCCATGAGAAGCCCCCCCCCCACCCCCCGATTCGAGGGAATTGCTGCGGCCCGGCGCCCTGGCATGGCGTGTGCCCGTCCCGCTCCCAGCTTCTGGCGGGCCCCGGCTGAATGTGATGGCCGGCGGGCCGGAGAGCTTCTTTCATCTGGTCCTCGGCATGGTTTGAGCAGGGACCGACCGCCCCAGCATTCCAAGAAGCCTATCACGAAATGTTTTCAGATCCCAACAATGATCTAAGAACAGAAACAATCCCTTAGAACATAATTTCGATGCTTCAAAATGAGGCAGTCCCAGCCAGAAACGTTCTAAGAACATGTCGTGGGAACCACAGAGGCTCTTAGAGCATTGCTTGGTAGGCCTCTGGGCACGCCAAAAAGCTCCGCCACCGCTTGAATGTCCTGAGGGCCGCCGGGCCTCCCGGCCATTGCCGTGCGATGCCATGTCCCCCCTTGCGAGGCGGGGAATTATCCACATCCACCGCCTGGGAACCGACGTCCTGGTGCCCCAGCGGGCGGTGGAAATGGATATATTTCGGCCCCCGTGGGCCCGAATATGTCCATATCCACCGCCTGCTGAGGCTCCGAAAACTGACCCTCCATGCGGTGGATATGGATAAATTCCTGCCTCGGATCCCACTGCGAAGCGCCGAGCCTGAAGCAGCGACCTCTCCCGCTCCTCCGTCTTGGCCTGCTCCTCCGCGGACGGGAAGGTTGAAGGGGCCCGAGGACACACGCACACATACATACACACCAATAACAAGATCCCCCTATACTTTCCATATTTTTCGGACTTCCGCCTTCCCTCCCACTTCCCAGATTGTCCAATGTTCTCCTGGGAATCAACGATTCGTTGTGTCTGTGTGCCTTTTCCCCTCCCGAAGAAGGGGGGGGGCGAGCGGGGCGACCCCGAGCGCCGGAGCTGTGGAGCGCGCTCCGCAGGAGGGGCCCGCCCGCGCCCCCCCGGTGGCGTCGGAGGCCGCAGGCCTCGAAGAGTCGGGTCTTGGGACCCGAAGCTGCGATCGGTGCGACGCGAGCGGGAGGAGGAGGGGGGGGGGGGAGAAGGAGGAGGAGGAGGAGGAGGAGGAGGAAAAGGAGGAGGAGGTAGAAGGAGGAGGAAGAGGAGGATAGGAGGAGGAGGAGGAGGAGGAGGAAGAGGAGGAGGAGGAGGAGGAGTTTTTATTTTTTGTTCCACCGCAGGCGCACGCACCAATTCCATGTGACAAGTCCGTTCTAAACATCTCAGCGAACACTGGGCGCCGCGCAATCAGTCATGCAAAGGAAAGGGGAGGAGCAGCAGCAGAGGCTGGGCAAAGAGAAGCGGCGGCGGGTACTCTGCTCCGAGTGCACAGGATCCCTGGCGGGCGCGCGCACCCCCAAGGCACACCGTCCAAAAGGGGATCACACACTCGAGCATCCGTCCCATGCCACACTCACTCCTCGGCTGACCGAGGGCCCAACCAACAGCGCAGCAGGCAGAAGCAGACAAAAAGGGGCGCGCCCCAGAACGAGAACCCAACACAAAAACCGAGGGAACATCTGACAGCTGGCCTCCACAGCGCCACGAACTTCGTCGGGGGCCTGAGGGCGAGAGGGGAACGCTCCCTCGCGCGGGGCGGCAGCCGGGGTGCCTCGAACTTCGTCGGGAACCTGAGGGCGACGGCAGGGCGCGGAGGAGGGGGGGACCTCCTCCGCGCCAGACGCAACGGGTGTCTGGATGCGCCACGGCTTGGCGTTGCGGGGAGGCCTGCCTACCCTGCCGAAGCGACGATCGATCAACGGCCGAGCGAACCAGACCGCCCGCCCGTCCGAGAACCAGTAGCTCACGGACAGCAAGAGAGGCGAGCAGGCAAAAGAGGCGGGGCGGCCGCGGGGCTGGCGGCGGAGAGAGGCAGGGGGGCGGCGGCGCGGCAAGAGAGGCACTCTCTCACGCGTACCGTCCAACCCAACTGTCAGCATGCCTCTCCCAAAAGAACGCCCGAAACTGCACCTCGCCATCTTCGCCTGCAAGCGGAGAGGGTCACAAAGAGCACTGGCAAGCGCCCACAACCCAGGCGACAACACGGGGCCCTGAATTAACCAAGAGACGAAGCAGAGGGGAGGGAAAGCACAACAGAAAGTAAAACCTCGGAAAACCAGACAGCCAACCCGAGAGACCCACCAGGGTCACATCAAACTCTGACAGCATCATGCATGGACCTATACCTAGGGGGCCACAGGGAAAAGGGGGGGACATGAAAAAGGGGGGACACGGCCAACTCAGGAGAGGAGGGGCACGGCAGGAGGAGCAGGGGGGGCAGAGGGAGGAGCGGCAGCAGCAGCATTCGACCGCAGCACACGTAACGCCTCATTAAGCCTGGGGTGCCGACGGGACAACTGCCGAAGCCTGGCTTTAATCAGAAAGTCCACCGGCTGGACCGAGCCAGTCCTGCGAGCATTATGCGCGGCCAGAAAGCAATCAATTAAGGCGCGCCCCACTAGGTCACGTGACCGCCCCCACTGTGGCCCCAGACAACAGAGAGTGAGGAGCCAATCCTCACCCGTTAGAGCCGCGGTCCAAGACCTCAGAAGTCCACCACGGGGGAATATGTCAGTCAACCCAGCCTTCAACTTGGGGCACACGCGATAATGCCTCAGATCGTCGTCGGCCGCATCTAGAGGACACCCAAACACACAGCCCACCACCGTGGTATGCAGACGACTAGAGGTACAGACTCCTCGGCAGAGCACTCTCAGGACCCCCGTGACGAGGTGCATCGTGCTGTCCTTCTCAACTTTACGCGCCCTCTGGGCAAGCACCTGAAAGTCAGCTACCGCGCAACGGTCGGGACCCACCCACTTGGACACCCTCTGAACCATAGTGCGGAGGGAAAAGTGGGGTCACGGAGCCCTCTGAGCTTGCGCTTCGCTTTCTTCTGAAGGGATTTCTTGGGGATGGGTTCCAGGGTCGGGATCGTGAAATTGCCTACTTCATTCACCGTAGTCCTGATCCAGGAGGACTTCCACCAGGGCCAGCTCAGGCGAGCAGGAATGAAGTTGTCGTCATCCAGGGAAACCGTCAAAGACTCCATCTCATACTGGACAGCATCAATGCTGGAGCAAGACGTCAACACCCGAAACTTGATAGCCTTCGAAAAAAAACAATCAATGTCCAAGCATTCTAAAGAGGCCCCCGGCGCTCGCATGCCCGTCAGCATCTCCCTCGAGAAGGCATGGCGGGGACCAGCAGTAATCACCTGTAGGGCCTCATTATACGCTTTCCGAAGAGCCGTAGTCACTGGACGGAGTTGTAACTGGTACGCCAAAATCGTCATGCAGCGCGAGTGAAAAAGGCGAACGGCCTGAGGAAACCCCAGCCCAAGCCCACGAAGCCTCCGAACCGTCATCCAGAACTTGGGGATGGTGTTGCTCCATACTTTGTCCAAAGCCCCAGGCCCGAGCCAGAATCCCAGGTATAAAACAGCGCGAACAAACCCGATGCGGTGGTACTCACCCCCCTTGGCTCGAAGGTGGGCAACTAATCTATCAGGATCAAGCGAGCCAATCACCAATACCTTACATTTGGGAATGTTCAACCCAAGTCCCACCGCATGCTCCAACTTACGAAGGAGCGAGAGCGTCGGCTGGAGGTCAGTCAGGATGTTGGGAAGGCAGAAAGAGAGCTCAGCAGCGTAGGCTCTAATCCGAGAGACAGGGTCAGTGAGCTTGGCCCTCATCCAACGCAATACTGGGTCTAGCGCATAGGCGAAGAGAAGCATCGACGCAGGATCACCTTGCCGCACCCCACGCCCCACCGAAAACTGAACGCCAGTAGCCCCAGGGAAGTTGATTACAGCCGCACTGTCACGGTGCAACTCGCGATAAAAAACCACAAACTTCACCAGGAACACCCATGGCCTCCAAGACCGCCAAGATCCAGGACACGATCAGAGAGGGGAACGCAGCCTTAAAGCCCGTGAAAAGAATTCCCGAGCGATCCCCACCAGTAAGCATCTGACGTAGACCCCACCATTGAATCTCAACCACGTTGTCAAGGAGCCCACGTCGCGCGACCCCCCCTCGCTGGATCGGGTCGATCACTGTCGGAGCAGCCCGCTGGAGGCCGATGGAGAACGCGTCACTCAGGAGCTTCACCTCGGTATTCGCTAGCGTGAGTGGGCGAGTCTTATCAGGCGACCGAACAAGGACAGCGGGGTTCTCGTCGTCTTTGAGGTCTCTGGGCAGAAAACACATACTTCCTCGACGCATGCACGCCGAAACAGTACCCCCAGACGCCTGATACATCTCCTCATAAAAAGCGAATAAAACATCCGGCCCCCCCCCCCCCCCCCCCCCCCCAGCTTTCCAGCGCCCATGCGGAATGCCATCCTCCCCAGGGGCAGAGTGATGATTATATCGGGCTCGCTCTATAAAATCGTCAACATCCAAGAGTCCGATCATGTTCCTTGGCAGCAAAAACCGCCTGCCAGTGGTCCCGAAGGGCCTCAGCAGAGGCCGTCGGGGAAGGGCACACCTGCCCTGAACTGCCCAGGATCCCAGAGAGCCCGCATCGCCGACGCATCTTAAACCAGGCCCGACGGAGGTGTTGCAAGCGGGCCATTGCCTTAGCCTTAGACTTCTCGTCATCCCCCCGCCCGCCCATCGCCCGATCCTCCGACTCATGCCAAGCATCCTTCAGAGACCGCACCAAAGCACCCGGGCCTGCTATACCCAAGCATCTCCCACGGTCTGGATCAAAGTACTGAAGCAACCGAGGATGCGCACGGATCGCGCGCACACACTGGTCGAACCTGCTCATGCGCCACCCACGGAAAGCCATCATAGCAAAGTGGAGCTTCTCACAATTTTCTTTCGGGGGCTTCATCCGAAGCCGAGCCTTGAACAGAGGGGCCATCTGCCAGAAAATCTCCTTCACCCGAGCCAATTTCTCCCGAGGGGTCAAATCCTGGTCGATTTCCATAATAACGCTGGCACACAACTCATGGCAAACACAATGACGGGAAATCCACTTAGGAATCTGGGTGGGCAACGCGGATGGCATTCTCAGAGCGGCAGGGGCCACAACAGGGATATGGTCGGACGAGGCGAAGGTCTTCGCGGCATGTCCCAGGGCATTTACCGCCACCGCCAAATGATTCAAGACGGGGGCAGAGAGAGAGAGAGAGTAGTGTAGATGCGGTCCAGACGGGCAACCCCACGGAATTCCCCCTGGAACACGTCACGCCGCGTCGGATCTGGTTGGAAAAGCTCAGCCCAAGACCCACACATAGACTGAAATGCATCAGTGTGTTCCATATCCCCTGCTAGCCGCGCGCCGTCAGTACGAAACCGCCCCTCCTCCACCCCCATAAAGTTCCAATCCCCTGCAATCAAGCACATAGTGTGCGCAGCCAGAGGAAGGAACGCCTGAATCACACACAGGTACCTGCGATACATCGCAACAGGATCCGAAGTGTTCGGCATGTGAACATTGACAATCACTAGGTCCCCACGACATCCCTTCAGGTGCGAGGCGAGAACTCGGCCAGCAATCAACGGGAATGGAGTGATCGATTCGAACTGCGAAGCCAGCTTACTCGATATAACAGTACACACACCGCCCCCAGCTCTCGGATCGATCATCGAATGGTGAACAACTGCACTGCGACAACGGTCATCACGCTGTAACATCTCCACATCAGGCACTGTGCCATGAGT